ATACTTTCGGGGAGTTTCTAAGTCGTAATAAAAAGATGCAAAAGGTGTATCATAAAGGAATCACTGATCTTATCATCATTATTCATAATGAAAAGGTCATTTACTGTGAATTAAAGAGACCGGGTAAAAAGATTGAAATGAGACCTGAACAGGTACAATTCAGAAAGAGAGTTGAGGACAAAGATAATTACATTGTAAGCAATGATTTCAACCAAATAATTGATTTTATTGATTACCACGTTTTGAAACATAATTATCTTAAATTTCAATCTGATGTATGATTCTCCTATGGATCTCTAATGTTTTATTCTTTTTAAACTTCTGGTGACATAGTTTACATCTAATTCGAGTTTTGATGTTCATATCTTCAGAGACCTCTAAAGTTTCTTTTCCACTATATATATGTTATATTAAATAATCTTTAAGTCAAAACATGTTGTCTCCTGCAGGAGACACTTACATGAGACACGTAACGCTGTGTAACGCAATTAATAATTCACTCAACCAATCAAAATCTGTTGTCTCCTGCAGGAGACACTTACATGAGACACGTAACAAAATCTGTCTCCTGCAGGAGACACCTTTCATAACGACACTTACATAAGACGCTATGGATAAGAAACGTTTTGAAGAGTTTGCAAACTATCTAGAAGCTTTTACGCGGAGGCTTACTCAGAGTTTTCCAGATTGTGCCAGTTTTGTCGACAATGAAAAGAGAGCGATGTTGGAAAGATTTCCAGAGCTCTCAACTCAGCAGCAAGCATCTCAACAGCAGCCACAGCGTGACCAACAAAGTCTAGCTGTTGTCAAGCTTGCTTTAACATCGTCTTATGATCAAGAAAGAAGAAAGGACTACTTTGGTGTTGAACATGAATTGAAAAGAGAAACACCAGAAGACATCATTCAGTCTATCAACACTTTATCAAGAGCCATCGCAAGTTCGCACAAAGATATTTTGCTGTATTCAGCTTTACAAGGAGATATGTTGACCAAACTAAAAGAGGTGTCCTCAACTCTTCTGCGAAATAACATTGACATCTCAAGGTCGTATGCTGCCTTTCTAATGCGATTTTATAGATTGGTTCACAATTATCCACGTTTGTTGCCGTGTAAACTGCCTATTGGTTTTTTCAAAAAGAACTTACGAAAAATTGAAATTATGGTTGGGTTTCAGGTGACGTCGCAAGCTTTGCTGAAGTTAGTGTCCGCCATGTTGGTGTCCCTCGGGTGTCAAATTTATGAATAATTAGTCAATTTCTATAGTGAAGCCCTCTCTCTTATCGCCGTATTATTTCGCCAACTACATGAATATCCAGAAAGAAAAAAGCGATGAAAGTATCTGGCATTCATCTTAAGGTATCCCAGTGCTCTCTGAGTATGCCGAAAGCTTAGAGAGTTGGAAGGAAAGATGTTTGC